AAATAAGGAATGACGGGATCGATAATCAATAGGTTAAGCAGGAGAGTTTTTAACCAGCAACTCTGGGTTCTATTCCGTGCACATATAAAACAAATGCACCCAGTTTGCTGCATGTCGCCTCTTCTCTCTATCTATCTCTCCTCTCGTCTCCTCTCTCATGCCCTTCCTGTTCTCTCTCCAACCTTTCAATGCCTAATATAGAATAACATGGTCAAAATATATCCTAAAAAAAACACATCTAACTTTGGAAAATGTATTTGGTTTGGATGCCAAATAATTGGCAAAGCTCAAAGGTTCTCGCAAAATGTGTAGTCAAACGGTTGATAATAAGAGAGAGCAGGTTGAGAAGCAGGAAATATTTTCAGAATATTTTCAGAATATTAGTACTTGAGTATTTACGAGTGATATTAATAATATTATATTAGTTCTGCAAATAGATCATCCTAAAGTTACAAACTGAACATTTAAAAAAGTTCCTAATAAATATATAAAATAGAAATAAACAATTTCTGATATAAATTTTAAAGCTTAAATTAAGGTTCCTGTTAGTTATAGTAAACATTCGGGGCGCTTAGTCCAAACCAGGGGGTAAGGGGGCAATGCTTAACGTGGGACAGTCCTATATGCACTACAAGCTCAGGTGAGATAATGAATGCCAAAAAACATGATGAAATGCCCAGGAAGACCCTAACCAGAACACAACAATGTTGAAAGAACTGGGTGGATTAATAGCACCCCCTAGCAATAAATGAAACGACATTGGTTCACAAAAATGTTAAATAATCAATGACGGTCTCCTTTTTACTGGGATTTTACATGTACACTGGTAGTGTCTGGCTGGAAGTAATGGTAAATGGACTGAACTCATTAGTGCGCCTTTCTAATCTTCCAACACTCCAAATCCTTTTACACTACAGTGCGACATTCACAGAATGATGGCTAACGGCCTTCAAAAAACAGAAACTAGACTCATTCAACCACCCTCACATTCAAGACACCAATGAAACGCATCGGGAGCAATTTGGGCCCTCCTAACAGTTCCAAAGTCGAGACTAAAAATTAAAGGTGATTGGTGCCTTCGCTATAAGGGCCCCTCGACTTTGGAACACCATGCCTGAGGAGATCGTAAATTCTTTTAAAATCACTGATCTTAAAACCATTTTATAGACTTGCCTTTATGTTTGTGGTTCTTTTATGTTTATTTTTACTCCAACCGTCCCCTTTGAGTTCTGTCTTATTTTATTTATTTATTTATTCCTGTTCTCTTATTTCACCTACTTTATTAATTTGTATCATTACCTCTGTTAGTTCAACTATTTTTCATGCAATTATATTTTATGTCCTTTGTAATTGTAAATTGTATTCTTGCTGTGATTCGTGTCAAAGAACTTTGTTTTAAAAGTGCTATCAAATAAAGTTATTATTATTATATTATTATAATAAAATAAAACAAAGACAAAGTTATTATAAAAGCTTAAAAGATTCGAGGCTTTTGAGATTCAGAACTGGAACCAGAACCCCCAGCAAGAGTGCTGCCGCAAAGCTATGAAGAGGTGTGTTTTGCGACAGTAATGGCAAGTGTCGCAAACGAGTGGGAGGCTTTGGGCGCTGTTCGTTACGTAGAGAGGTAGCCGCCTACACTGCTCTGGATATCTATGGCTGAGGAGCAGTCTACCGACCTCTTTTAATAACATGGATTATAGACCGACATTACATCGTTTTTGTGCTCGTCCTCAGCGCGTAGGCCTTCGTCCTGAAGGCGATCGCACGGCGGGTGTGATGTCCCTCTGGTGTGCTGGATTGTGACGCGAGGACGGGCTCGCTGAGCAGCCTAATGGACAGTATCGATAAGTTAGCTATCAAAGCCTGACTAGCCTCTTTATGCAGTTTCGGGACGCCATTGTCTCATTTTGTTGGCCCTGCCTGCTTTTGTATTTGCTGACTGGAACTGGGTATTACTCTGGAGTGTGTCGTAACATCACCATTACTGACAGACAACAGTATTTACTCATCTGGAGCGAGGAAGTCCAGCTGCGTCAGGCTAGCTGAGGTTGATGAAGACGAAACCGGAAGCTGGGTGATTATGCTTTCACAATAAAGGCGCCCAAAATATTAGTTTTGACTTTGAATAATGGCGTTCGTGATTAGACTGAGCCTGTAACGCTTAAGGAAAACGGCAGCCAAGCTTTTATTAGCACCAAAACTCTCCGTCTTTTTATTACCGCGGTACACTGCAAGATACCTAAGGCTTCATAGGTTTTATTCTGGAAGCTTTGAGCGGAAGTCGCGCCTCATTCTGCTGTGTTTGACGCTGGTTGGAAGAGGGATGTGGCCAGGATGTATTTATGCTGCTGTTCAAGATATGAAAATCATTGAGTCGGCGCTGCTTCGGGAGCCGTGTTTCACCGCCGCACACAGCGGGGGTTACGACAGTTTCGCTGCCTGTCACAGTGCCTGTTGTCGGGGGTCGAAAACTGCGAACGCGTCCGAAGTTGCTGTGCTGGTTTCATCTGGACTGGACTATTTCCATGAATGCTTCTCACCCTCAAGCCCAAACACTTTGTGTGCGTAATAAAAGTATGTGAATCGATACAGTCATATAGTTGACTTTTTTAGTTAATTATTTTCCAGGACTTTTTCTCCCCCCTTTTTTATTTTTTTTATTTTACAAATGTCAACAACTCAGCGTCAAGTAATGATGGAGTCCTCTCTAGCTCTCGGCCGACTGGAACTGACCCCTAGTTCAGCCGCTGTTGGGGTCAGCAGGACCCCGCGGCTCTCCGGCGCTCCCCCCGCCAAAGAGAAGTGCGGCCAACGGCAACTGGGGCCACTCGGCCAGGCTCACCTGAACGGCTGTGTCCCACTGTCACATCAAGTAGCAGGTCACAAGTTTGGAGTGGATAAAGTGGGTAAGTAAACTGGACAAGAGATCTTTTCTTAATCCCCTGCTACGGAAGAGGATTAGGGCCAAATGTGAAAAATGTATTTGAGTTTTGAGGGTAAAGTAAAAACAAAAGTCTCACTTAACTCAAATACATGTTTCATATGTGGCCCTATCCTCTTCTCTACTACCTGCAATCTGAACTTTATTTTGGACCTGGTAGCTGAATGTTGCTTGTCACACCTATATGTGCTGAGGCTGCAGTGGAAAATGAAGCCTACAAAGAACCCACAAAGCGCTTTCTTATCAATATAAACTCAGTCTTCCCCCCACTGTTTGTGGCTGCCACCCATGATGTCTTATTGGAAAATGTTTGTGGGAAGACATCTTAACCTACAAGTGAAAGATGAAAATGGTCTGTTAGAAAGTTGTTGTAGCTCTTGCTCCACCAGGTATGTTAGCTGTCAGCAAGAATGGAGATTGGGGGATACGATTTATGCACATGTCTCACTGTGTCACTGCTAACCAACTACATGTACCAATGTGGGTCCATGCACTGAATCTGATCAGAGTTCATTTGTGGATTCACTTGTACTCATGCACACAGGACACCTGTCATTATCAAAGCCTCCATTGTGTGTTATCAGACAAGGTGTTGAGCTGAATTGATTGTGTGTGATACAGTCAACAGCTGGTGTTGGTTTCAGTACGGCCTCAGATGGATGAGTCATTGCTGGTCAGTCAGTTACCTTGATGAATTGCAGTCTCCTGTAAAGACACATCTTTATATTGTGGGTCAGACAGGATGGTCTTCTCAAGAGTGGCCTGCAGGCAGCAAGGGCAAACCTGTCTGTCCACAAAAGTGTTTGTGTCCTGTTTTACCTGAGCTATCTTCTGCAGTTTCTTCCTTCTTATCCCACCTTCTTCCTATCTTTGTTGTCGTCTCTGTTGAGAAGAAAGATAGGTGTTCAGTACATGTGCAGTACCGATCGGGCACTCGCGAGAAAGTTGCTAAAAGTTTGAGAGCAAGGCAGATATTTGCAGAATGTTGCTGGAGTGCTAGAACAAGAGCCTTCAGCATCTCGCTTGCATGGCAGCTTGGTTATTGTTATTTATTATTTTTTGTTAATGCTAATGAATAAAAACAATTTTCTATAGGGGCGGGTAAAAATATACCTTGGGGCAAGTGGATTTCTACCCGACCAGGCAAGAAAAAAACCGCTGAACCTTCCAGACTTCAGCTCCAAACGTGCTGGGAGTACTTCTACCATAGAATGACTTTGTTATTAGAGGCACGTTACCAAATGCTGTTTTCTTTTGCCCTACATCTTGTGTAGTGTGGACCAAACAACATGACTGAGACCAGCTTTTTAGTTGTGAACAGAACAACAATAATAATAATAATAATAATTTTACATTTTTTTATATTTTAAAAAGGAGTGGATAACCTGAAGTTTTTCCAATGAAGTACATAACAAAATGTAAATAACGATGCCCATCATCAGTATTACTTCTTCAACTTCAACTCTTTGCGAGACCAGAAAAAATAAATGAATACATCAGGTTCAGGTAAGTGCTGCATTACCTGCTGTCAGTCAGAAATCTGGAAATAAGTCAGTGTGAACATCCAGTTGAGTTGAAACAAGACATTTGAAGACATCCCATTGACACTGCCTTTTCATTAAAGGTCCAGTGTGTAACATTTAGGAAGATCTGTTGTCAGAAATTGAATATAATTATCCATAGGTAAGTTTTTATTAGTGTATAATCACCTTAAAATAAGAATGATTTTTTTCTTTTACCTTAGAATGAGCTGTTTACATCTGCAGATGCTGCACGTCACCTTCCATGGACTCCGCCATGTTAAACTGCAATGTTTCTACAGTAGCCCAGATTGGACAAACTAAACACCAATAATGAAAATAATGGTTAGTTGTAAACCTAACACAGATTCAGAACTCCAGTGATTCTTTGTAAACACAGTCATTTAAAGCTCTGTGTTTTGTGAAAATTTGCATTACATTTATTATTTATTATTTATTTATTTGTATTTATTTTTTTTTAAGTGACAACATATGGAGAATGACAGATGGCAGCTTTAAATGTCTCTGGACTCCTACATATACTGTATCTCCTAAATATAGCAGTTAAGTTTAGCAATACAGCAAAGTTGCTGCTTCGAAATCTGTTTGCGTTAACTTACACACGCACATTATTAAAAAGGTTACTGTTAAAGGAATTGAGAGAATCAAATTTCTAAACCATATCAATAATATAATCTAAATGTGTACGTTATTGGGAAGAACATTTCTGTGGTGAATGTCTCCTCTCTGTACACTGTGAGAAAGAAGAAGAAGAAAGCATTATGTGAAACAGTGATTCACTATATTTGACAGCAATATGAAATTATTTCATTTTTTCATTGGGATTAGTAGTGAACAATCAATAACATAGGCCACATAAGTTCAACCTTACAGGCAGTGAAAAGTAGAGCTGTTCTGATACCAGTATCTGCAATTCCTGATACTGCCTAATGTGATCTCTAGGGACAAGTAGTATTGACACAGTATTGAGACTCAGCCAGCAGTATCCTTAACAGTTGTAGAACGGGCTGTGGAATCCTGTCTGGCCTGATCTTCTGTTGACTGAAAATGATCCTGCTCTCTCCTTTTCCCACTGCTCCCTCTCCCCCAGACCATAGATCTTTGTTTAAATGTGTGTTAGTGATGGGCAGTTATTTGTCGTGAATAGCTGAAAGACCACTGACTGAAGCGGTGCTTTCAGCCACGGTTTCTGTTTTACAAGCAGTGTTGAGCAGTAATGGGAATTGCTGATCAAATTTCAGTAATAATATTAGTTACCCTACTGATTTGAAATCCAACAATCCAGTTTTGTAATCAATGCTAGTTTCCAAGATGGAAATGCTTACATTTAAGGGCTAGAAATATTCCCATTCCCGTTGATTTTAACAAACAAAACTAGGTTTTCTCTCTAACTCCCAACAACCGGTCAAGGCAGACAGCCACCCACCTAGAGTTGGGGTCTGCTCAAAGTTTCTACCTGTTAAAAGGAAGTTTTTCCTTGTTACTCTCGCTCATGGTGGGAACTGTTGGGTCTCTAAATAATAGTAGTCTAGTAAATCATTTTATAAGGAGTACAGTCTAGATCTGCTCTGTTTGAAAAGTGTCCTGAGATAACCTTGAATTGAAAAATTGAATTGATTTTAGTCGTGGACAGTAGGCTGCCAGGGACAAAGAACTAGTGAAGCTGAATGAAGTGGCTGGATATGTTGTCGATGATTCTTGGGAAAATAGCGGTCACAGGCAACAGAAGACGTGCTGTTTCCAAAAAACAGAAATTGTCTCGTCATCAGTTTGAGCCAGAATATTTAAGTTATAATAAGTAAAGTTATACAATTATGTGTGAAAAGAGTAAAGAGTAATGAGCCCAACCCTGCTTACAAATGACCCGATTTAGTCTTTGGTTGGATTGAAAAGCTACTCTGTGGCACATCTTGGCTCATCCCTGGTGCAGCTCCAGAAGCGTTCAGAAGTGGGTGACTGGTTGGTTCTTAAACAGGAAGTGTGTAGTTTAAGACTCACAGCAGCAAACTTGATTTGATGTAAAATATCCCACTGAAGGTGCTGCTTTTCACATAGTGCCCTCTCTCTCTTGGATGGTGCTAATTAGCAGGAAGACGTGTGGGCCACTGCGACTTGTGGCCATGGTTACTCTGCAGTTTAGGCACAGAATGGTGTTCTCTAGTGCTTAAGTGGCTCTTTGTTGTCAAAACAACCACAAAGAGGGATGGATATTGTTTTTCATGACTTACTATTTGAGTCAGTTTAACACAAAACCTAACTTTAATGCAATTTGTTTTTAATTTTCTTGTGATCAGGTATTTTGTGTATATCCAATACATCTGTATCAAGATTGATTGCTTAAAATATTACAGCTCATATATTGTTATTGTTATTAAACTCTCAAATAACAATTACAATATCAGTTGGGGTATAATGGCTACTGTAATTTGTCAAGCTTAGGCACACTTGTGGGTGTTAGCTTTGGGGTGTGACTAGAGCTTAGCCTGGCTAGCCCTTTTTGGGGTGTGTGGCTTTACATAACATCTGTAATCCTAGAAAGAAAAAAATCTTAAAGCTGCAGTAGGTTCTTTTTCTAAAAATATATTTTTGTTACAGTTGCTGAATCTTTCACTATATCCTGACAGTAGAACATGAGACAAATAATCTGTGAAAAAATCAGGTTTCTCTTGCTCCTCCTAGTGCATTGGCAAAAATATTAAATAAGGCAAGGTGAAATACAGTAAGCAAAGCGTCCTTTTAAGGCATTTTTTGTGTCATGGTAAACAAACTATGGTGGATAAGTGATGTGAGAGCAGAGAGAATAAATACAGAAGGTTGGCAGTGGAAAAGATTTCCTGATGAATTCTACCTGCCTGAAGTCTGAAAGGTGTTTTGGTCCAATTCAAATCTGGTTTTTCATACTCAACCTGAAATGTTATTTGAAGATTTTTTTAGATGACAAGTGGGTGCTGTTTTCAGATAACAATATAAAAA